CATGACACATGGGATATTTCCCCATGTAAGCTTATCTTTTCCTTTAATATTTCTGCAAATGTGCTATATATTATTTTTTCCTTTCTAAGAACTTTCTGACTGAGGAGCTGCTACAGCTGGTAGCAGCAGCACTCAAAGGATGGTGTATGCTCCATTCTGCTAAAAGTAAATGAGGCACGGCCACTGACTTTTCAGACCTTAATACTCTTACACTACGAGCCAAATTTATATCTTGTCCTTGACGGGGAGCAGAATACGCCATACCAGAATATATCACTTTGGCATGTGAATTATTTCAAGCTGAAGATAATCTGAGCCCATCACAATTGAGAAGCTTTTTACCTTGTCCCTAACTGCCTAGAAGAATTTAGATAGGGGGCCTGGACCAGGAAGAGAGTAATTGCCAGAGATAACTTTTTATATCACAGGGACTCATCGTCATGACAGGGCAAATACTTGCTTACCAAACATCTGCTCTTCTCATCTTCCTGTGAAATGTCTTCCTCCCCTTTGAGGCCCCAGACCCTTACCCTCCTATGCTTAGCTCAGGATGGTATGGAAGCCTCAATAGAAGCTTGAATGCCAGGGAGTCTCATATTTTTATGGGGCTCCTCTGTGGATGAAATTTGTTTTTCTTCTGTTAATCTGTATTATGTCAATTTAATCATTAGGCCAGCCAAAGAACATAGAAGGAAAGAAGGGGTAAGTTTTCCTCCCTTACATCCTAGAACCCCATTAGTTTTTGTTACTATTCCTAATAAGTTCTTCCTCTAGTCCGACTCCATTTTAATAGGAATATATCCACCCAAAATAGAAGATTCTTACAAATATTGGCCAGTAACAAGACCACAAATATAACTAATTTTAAAAGTAAAATTTTTATCTCAGGATGGAAATTCGTAAATTTTTTTTAACAAGTAATATTGGGGAGAGGGAGCAGGACAATACCCTAAAGGAGAATTAAAGTTCAACTAAAAATTTTATATATATTTTTAAGCAGCCTCTTCGATAATACTGAGAGGAGGAAAGCATACACTGAGCAGTGTGCTGGGAGAATCATACCTTCGGGCCTCATTGTGGTAGGAAGAAGGGAGGGTGTGAGTCATCCTGATGGCTCTGGGGGTCGGGGGAGGAGAAGTTTCACATTTAATTGTTGCTTTATCCTCCCGACCATCGTCTTCCACCACTGCAATCTAGAAGCAAAAAGAATATACTCAGATAAACTCTTCCTAAATTTCAACGGAAATTGATGAAGACGGAGAATCACTACAGCAAGGCTATCTGAGTAAATCTGATGCAAAAACGAAATAAAAAATTGGAGGCATATAGATATTTCATATACAAATTTACATTATTAAAAAGGATGAATTTCATAATTCTTGAAAAGTGAACACTCCAGTTAAAATAAACATGGACCCACTATGAAAAAATTATTTAAGAGTAAATAAACATCATAGATCAATATACAGGGACTGTGAAAAAGCTACTTTGGAATTTATTTTAATATATCAAAATATAAATGGTTTGAGCAAATTTACTAAAAAAAATGCATAGTTAGATTATCATACGATGGATATCTTTTAAGTGGGGGATTTTTGATCAGATAAAGTGTTTTAAATCAGTCAAGCAAAACAAATATATTCCAGGGTGTTTAAAAATGAATTTT